GGGCTGATAAAACTCCTTGAGGATCTGAATCAGTCAGACCCCCTCCCCCCAAGTTACCTGGTCAAAGTGTACCCCTGATTTGGTTCTGCAGACCAACGATGTCGCTGGTTGGATTTACTACGCAGGCACTGCAGATATGAACTGTCTGCCAAGATCTGTGTGTTGATTGTTGCAAGCCCCTCCCTGCTTCTCTGTCACAGATTCCCAGTGGCTGGGCCCCATAGATTCCTCTGCAGTTACCATAGTGCGAGATCAAAGTAGGGGCTCCCACAGAGCAGCCCACAATGTTGAAGGAGATTGGTTGTCCGCCCTGGGTTCTCTTTTCCCTCTGGACGAACCAGTGGCTCAGAGAAGACCTCTCTGCATAGTGTTGCACTGTCCTAGGGGAGGGTCAATGTGGTCAACGTGTAGCTGCTTCTCTCACCTTCTGATGCAGTCTGCCTTGATCTCTGAGGTTCAGTGGGTATTTCAGCCTCACCTCCGTGCTCTAGGATTCTCTTAGTGGTGTCTTGTTTCTGAATAGGTGTTAATTGTTCTTCTCATGATGGTGAGTGAATTCAGGAGCTAACTATGTTGCCATCTTGGTGATGTCACTCTGATGCTTACATTTTTTGAAGTTTCTAACACAAGGGCAGTGAGATTGCTCAGGATTTGGTGGCTGTTGCCATATTTTTGTGTTTCTTTCTTTTATGCTTGTCCTCCTGTGACATCACGGAACACTTCATTAATTCAAAGACCCCAGAAATCATAGCTACCACAGAAGAAATCTATGAGAGCATCCATAGATTTAGGGTTTGGGGGTTGGAATTAGGAGTAACTAGGTGATTAAAGCGCTCCAAGACAATCAGATATAAAGTCAAATAAGCATTTTATAGCATGGGTCTTTCCAAGATAAAATTCAAATTTGGACTCATGGCACGCAGGACTCTTCCACACTTAACCCTTGCTACCCTACCCAGACTTATCATTACACATCTGCATGGTACTGTGTTCTTCAGCCATATGGTTCACTAGTGATTTTCACAGTGGCCAGGTTCTTCCTTATATCCTTTCTTTACCAACTACTCATTCAATCTCCATTTATCTGGATAATTCTGACTGACTCTTCAAAATTCATCTCAGGTTTCTTCTTTCCCTGGGGGTATTCTGTGTGGATTAGGTGCCTATTCTCTGAGTTTTCATAGTAACACCTATATCATGTGGATAAAAATTGCTCTTATCATAGCATTTTTACAGCACATGCTATATTTTAATTATTCCTTGTCTTGTTTTTCTTATCCTCTGTACTCTACAAGAACTCTAAGTTGAAGGGAAGAGAAAAAAAAGGAAGCAAATACTTATACTATTATGTAGAAAAGGCTATGGTATATGTAGAAGTGCAGAAGTGCTGTTCTGCTTCAGAAGTATGTCAAGTAGACTTAGAGGAAAATGGCTAGTGGGGCAATTTAGCCAAGTAAGATAACATGAGCAAAGAATAGGAAACAGCATGAGGTGATGACAAAAGGTCACACTAGAGAAGCAGGTAATAGACAAATCACAGAAAGGCTGGTGCTCCATGTTAAGTAATTTCAAATCCTTGAAAGGCTTAAATGTAAGGGCTAGGGTGACATAATCAGATTTGACTTTAATATCACTCTGTCAACTATGTAGAAGAAGAAACCTGGAGGGAGGGAGCGACCAGTGGGGAGGTTATTTCTGTAGTACAATGAGAGATGATGAGGCCTTATATTAGAACATGTTAGAACTGAGGTATCTGTGAGACCACCACGTGGAGATGCTGGTGACAGCTAGATATCCAAGTTTGTCTTGAGGAGGAGTAATCTAGACTGGAGGAAGAGATTTAAGAGTTGTCAGCCTATGGGTAGTACTTGAAAATTTGAATGAGGAAGAAAGCTCCTGAAGAACATGAAAACAATGAGGAGAGTAGGAAACCAAGGGTGGGATTGAGGAGATCACCCACATTTAAGGGGTGGTCAGAGGAAAAGGACTGTAAAGGTAAAGTAAAAAGATAACTAGTGTGGTGCCACTGAAGGAACCGGTTTAAAGAAGGAGGAAATGACCCACACACTCAAATGTAGTGACTGAGTCTAGTAAAATAAGGGCTGATAAATATCTATTGAATTTATCAGTCAAGCAGTCAAAGAAAATAGCAACAAAAGGAATTTCAGTAAGATGGTGAGCAAGAACCATTCTACTTTGAATTCAGAGTTAACAGGAAGTAGAGAGATAGAACTCCTGGGGAGTTAGGGGTGGTTGGGCAGAAAGATAATAGGGTAAAAGCGTAGAGAGTCATAATGAAAATTGTTCAGTTGATTTGCCATAGGGGGTCTAAATTGGATCTAAATGGAATATTGCATTTGATGAGTGAGATAATTGAATTTAAAATTTCAGAAATAGAGTGGTATAGACTAGAAGGTGATAGGACCCAGGCATGGCCTAGAGAATAGGTGAAGAGAAGGCTAAATTCAGATTTATGACTTTGAGAGTGGTGAGCTAAAATATTCAACTACAATTGAATTTATTTTTCATAGATTTCTGACAGCTGTTGCTACAGAGGTTTTTAGGTTTTTTTTTTTTAGGTTTTTTAGGTTTCATGGTCATTTGGTATTATTTTTTAATTATTTTTCCTTTAACATTTGATCTTGAATTTTATATGGTCTAATATTAACATTGCTACTGTTGCTTTCCTTTTGGTCATTTTTGTGGTACATCTTTGCACTTTATTTTCTGCTTTCTCTATTGTTTTATTTTAAATGTGTCCCTTATAGACAAAGTATTACAATACCTTTGAAAAATCCAATTTGAATGATAATTTCTTGAGCACTATGTTAACTCATTTACATTCTTGTAATTACTTTACCATTAGGATTTAATACTTACCTTTTTTCACGTTTTTTTTTTAATTACTATGCTTTCTGTTTCCTTATTTGCCATCTTTTTTTCTATCCTCTATTGGATAGGTTAAATTTCTCTCTCTCTCTTTTTGGTTACACCTAACTTAAGACACATAGCTATATTTCTTCTTTATCTATGTCATTGTTTAACAATATCTATGTCATACCCTTAAGTAAAAGTCTATCTGAGTATGGTCTTCTCCTTCTTGTTCTCACCTATCTTTCTGAATTGATATTTTTAGAATGAATACACACACATATATTCTTCTTATTTAGACCACAAACATTTTACTGTTACTTCCTCATTCTTCTATTTTGTATTGATTTCATAGTTTTATTTATTATCTGACTAGTGTATTTCCTGAAAGAGTGTTTTCCGAAGGTCTTTTTGCCCTAAAACTTCTGAGTTTTTATGTCTAAGAAAAGCTTTATTTCATGCACATACTTAAAGGATATTTTATTGGTTATAAATGTCTAGGTTCAAAATTCTTTACCTTTAACACTTCAAATGTTATCCCATTGTTTTCTTGCACCCAGGGTTGTTGAAAAGCTTGATTCTTAGTCTTTTGTAGACCTTTTCTTATAATCTTTTCCTTTGTCCTTGAGCCTCATTCTTTCCATAACTGTTATTTCCATTTTTATTTTAGTCAAAATATTGTGTTCTTCCTTTGTATTTCATCATCTTCATTTATCACTTTGAGGACACTTATTCTGCTGATTTGTAATTCTTCTTTTGTCTAATCTGTTCATTCTGTTTCATCTGATATAAAATGATGTGTTTGTTGTCTTTCTTAAAGTAGCAACTGGATTCCAAGGTGATTAATTATGAAGATTCCTGGAAGCTGTGAAGCAAAGTTTTGGTTTAGATTTTAAAGTCAATTTAGAATAATGGAAGAGACAGCAACTCCAACAAATTAGGGGAAAAGATAGTCATGTAGGTGGATGACAGAAATTATGGATAGAAGTGTTAGAGGCAAAAGTAGAGTCTCCAAGGAGGATGAACTTTGACATGTAGGAAAGAAGGGTTTCCTTCTGGAACAGAAGAAACCTGAGTATGTTTATAGGTAAAAGGAAAAAATGAGAGATGCAGGAGACTGAGTAATTTATGATGTAAGCTTCCAGAAAGAAAAGGGACAAATGACATGTGTAATTTTTATTGAAACTATCAGAAATACTCCAAAGTAAACCATTTACCATGAATTGTGTTTAGCATCCTTCTTCCCTCAGGTTTTCTTCACATCTGTTCAATACAAATTTGTTGTCTATTTAATGGTGGAGTAGTAATAAGAAAAATGTCATGAAATTAAAATTTGAGTTTGGTAACAATCAATAATATACTTGAAAACTTTCAGAAAGTGGACTAACCAAAAGAAAGAATACAAGTATATTTATTTCCCTAGATCCTTTAGAGATCTCTCAGTGCACATGGAATAACATCTAAAGCCCAGAACAGGGCCTAGAGCCACACTCTGGAATATGGTACCCAATGGCCACGTGTGTGTGTGTGTGTGTGTGTGTGTGTGTTTGTGTGTGTGTGGTACGCGGGCCTCCCACTGTTGTGGCCTCTCCCGTTGTGGAGCACAGGCTCCAGACGCGCAGGCTCAGCGGCCATGGCTCACGGGCCCAGCCACTCCACGGCATGTGGGATCTTCCCGGACTGGGGCACGAACCCATGTCCCCTGCATCGGCAGGCGGACTCTCAACGACTGCGCCACCAGGGAAACCCCCTATCAAAACATTTTAAAAGAAAAATAAAATTTGTAGGAAGTCATCTCTCTACAAGCTAAGTATATGAGCTCTGGCTCAAGGTATTCATGATAATCACTCTATTTATGCAGATACTAATTTCCAAAGGACTAACCCAGGGTGATTTGCCCAGCCATCACCTGCCAGCTGGCGTAAGCTAATGCAAGGAAAAGCAACACAGATCAGAGTGTCAGGATTACTTCATTTTAATTTCTAAAATATTCTGCGTTTTGATACACATATAATCTAAATATTCTAAAAAAACTTTTAAAGATTGCTAAAATTTTTCCCTCTGAACTCAGACTGACGTGCAACTTTTATCATTATGCACAATATTCTAAATGTATTATATTTTGCTAGATGGAGGACGTTATTGAGGATATAATCGGTACGGAATCAAGTTTTAAAGAGGAAGGAACAGACTCTCCTCTGCTAATGCAAAGAACAGTAAGTGTTTTCAGACCTGAGGAGGTCAATGAGATTAAAATCAATAATAGCATATGATGATAAAACAAGAAATTTCATTTGATTAATAAGTGGTGTTTTCTTCTGCACTTTTGAAACAGGTACAAGATAGATAAATATGAAAAAAATATTTATTGGGGCAGAAAAAAGATACATAATTTTATTGAGGAAGATAATAGGACGTGTACTATTCTATCTGTCAATCTATCTATCTACTTACCTACCTAATCTCTATAAACACCATCTAATTATATATCTAGTCTGCTATAGCATTTTCTGTGAAATCTTCAGATTTCCCTTTGAAGCACAACATATCATAATACCCTCATAAGTTCATGGCTAAATTTTAACTATTTTACCATGGCTAACAGCTATCAGATTCAGAGGCTCTACACCTTATAGAGGAAAGAAAAAAATTATAACAACAAAAATATAACTTTACTTCTGAGCCAATAACCAAAGGTTAAAGATGAACTGAAGAAAGGTAGAAGAGCCTCACACTACTTTAAGGCATGTAGACAGATTTCTGTGTTGAAATCACAAATTCCTGGAATAATATGCAGTGAAGAGTTATCTTATCTCCTATTTGATTACTGTTGCCTTCTCATTGTTCATTTATTAATCTCTAGAAACGAATCTGTAAAGGGTGTGCAAGCTCTTTCTATACAGTTTGAAGGGTTGTTGTTGGTTTGTTTGTTTATGGTTTTAGACCTTTTAGAAAACATGAGAAAAAATATGAAAGATTGTGATTTAATTGTTAAACATTTCATTTAAAGAAAGTGAATTCTGACTAGATACTGTTCATCAGTAAATCAGTGGGCTAAGTTGTATTAATATTAACAATGGACATTTTAAATTTAAAACTTTAAGAAAAAAATTAGACAAAGCATCCCTCTTTTCTTTATTAATTCCCAAATAGACTACAAAAAGGAGAATTATCTCTTTCCTCCTTTTCTCTCGTTCAAAGGACCTCCACTTTATAACAAGTCATTAATACCACTATTAGACAAAGATCAAATGAGGTTTAAAATATAGGTTTTTTTTGAAGGTTTTTTTGGTGGATTTTTTTGTTTGTTTTTTGGCTGTTTGTTCGTTCGTTTTTTAGAATGAAGTGACAATTCTTTCTACCTCTTCTCTCTTCAGGGTTCAAGCAGCATATTTATAGGAAATCTAACAAATTATCTATATAAATGTTATTAATGCTAAGTTTCCCCATCTAATTCCACAGCATGAGGTTACTATTTTCTTAACTAGTATTCAACTTCTGGGTTTGAGGAAATGATATTAATTTCCTGCAATCTTCTCTTCCTTGTATGTGGTACTTATTTCATTGAAATTGTACATTGAAACATTCTCTTTGTCAAATTATCTTACTTGTTTTGTAGAGGTTGCATAGATTGCTTATTCCATGCAAACTGGTGACAGTGACTATTGGGAATTTGCTTTTGATATACAGAATGTAAAAGATAGATACTACTGGCCTATTTGTACTTATATAAAGAAGTATCTGCTGTTGGCCAATCAACAATCATTGATAAATCAAGATCAAGATATAACCCCAAGCAGTTCAACTGACCAAATATTTATTCAATAGTTATTATATGCAAAGCACAATACGTGCACTATAGGAAACTAAAAGTTGAGTGAGACACAATTCACATATCAAGAGGCAACATGATAGTGAGGCAGTGCAGTGAGGCACACCTGAGAGGCAGGGAGGGAAAGAATATGGATCTTGGTATTAACCCAAGTTGTCAGCTAGGTACTGTGCAAGTCACTTCTCTTTATTTCACTTTCTTCTTCTGCATTATGAGAATAATTGAAAATATTTATTGCCAAAGCTATTTTTATATTAAATCTAGGTATATAGCATATATATATATATATATATATATATATATATATATATATATATAATTTTTTTAAATGCTAGTCAGAGAGTTGCCCTGGAGTTTGACTAAAGTAGAAACCATGCGAAATTGAGATATTTTTGGAATGCTTTAGGAAAAGATGATATTTGAGATATAGTTATAAAGGAAGGTTAAGATTTTAAGAGGTAGACATGAAGGCAGCAAAGTATAACAAGTTGAGAGAACAACATAAGAAAAGGCAAGAAGTCAGAAAAAAAGAATGTATAAGAATAGGTGGTAGAACAGAGATAGGAAATTCTGAAGGATATTTATAGTTCATGTGGATAAAAATAAAGACCTGTTAGATTCAGAGGAATGCTTTGAGTAAGCATTTTAGCTAGTGAACTTTTGGTTGTAGATGATAGAACCTGGCTTATATGGGGCTTAAGTATGAAAGGAATTTGTTGGCTCATGTCATCCACAAATTCCTAAGTAATATTGTATGTGAACATCCCTCCATAAGTTTGCCTTTGTTCTGTACTGGCCTTATTCTCAGCTGTTGAGCAGACACTATCACAGCTTATTCCTAGCTATGCACACAATTCTTCCTTGCTAACCCAGTTTTTTTTTTCAGACATCCACTCCTTCACAAGGAAGAGGAAGTTTCTGATTAATTTAAGCCAACCCTGGTGGCCCCGTTTCCCTGGCCAGAGATTGTTTTAAGAATGAGCTTGTGTTGCAATTCTGGCAAGTTGAGCAGGTTCCTGGGGTCTTCTAGAATTTACTTCAAACTTTAAAGGAGACCCAAGAAAGAGAAGGCTTTGCCTCTCCATGATGTTGTAAGACAATGTGACTTATGTAGTCATTTTATTGCCCAGAAGGCAAATAAACTGAGGAAAAACTAAAGAAACAAAGGGAGAGGAAAATCCAAGCGGAATGCAAAGAAATACTGCTTTATATGCCCCTGGAGAATTCTTTACCTATGGATCTCACACATTAAGTAAGATTTTTTTCTTTTATTTTATAAGCTAATTGTGTCAGGATTTTCTGATTGTCATAACCAAATGCATCCTGGTGGATACATTAAGTCAAGCTTAAAAACTTAAGAGGAGAGCTTCCTTTCCTGCTTAGTTCCAGTTCAATCTCTGGGCTAATTCCTTGTGGAGCAATTTCTGTCATATATCTAACTGTCAGCCAATTTTTCTGGGTCTTGGGCCCATGCTAGAGCTGTGAATCAAGCAGCTCCACGAAACAAATTATCTAGGTTAAGAGTGAGAACCAGGAGAGCAGGAGTTGTTACCAAAATAAATGTAAATGAATTCTAGAGAGGCTAAAACAACAGATGCCCATAATGGTAAGCTTCAAAAGTGAGGATATTTATCAATAATAATAATTTTTCTTACTGTCTCACCTACTATGTCACAGGCACGTTGCTGAGTATTTTACATATTTTCTCTAGTTCTCACAGAAATTGCAAAGTCTTAGGGGCAATCTACTGATTGTGCTGTTAGTCACTTTGGGGTTCTTTTGCTGTGACTTAAGCAGAAAACCTTGAGTGTAGATTTATCCCAGGACCACTGCATATAGGCTTAATTAAAAATCATGTTCTAACTTCTGTTGGTGGAAAGCTTGGAAGCTGCTAAGGGGTAGCTTGCACCACTTGTGGTGGTCCTTCACATTTCCCCAGGTTGAGTGGAATAGTTCAAGGTTTTCACCGATCAATTTAGCCCAGGTATTTCTGACCCAGAAATGAATATTGAGTGATTAGTGACTAGACTCAGAATAATTGAGCAGAAGTTACCTCTCAATTTCTATTTGACCAAGAGAACTAGGCAACTGTCAATTCGTTCTTACTGCAACAATTTTGTAAATTGGACTGAAAAGACCCGAAGTGCAAGAAACATTCAGTGAAATCAGCTGTGTTTTCATCAATACCTTAACCTCTCAGTTTCTCAGTCACCTTGGTGTCAATGGTATTTTTTCTCCTTCCTATCCAGCCATCCCTTCACATGATGATATCTTAGATCTTGTTATTATGTATTTCTCTATCCTATAACATTTTTATTTCATACTTTTTGACCATTACATTCTGTTTTTCAGTGCACCTTCTCTAATGTTCTTACTTCACCAATTGCTCAAGCTTGTGGAGACTCCAAATCAATTGACTTTACCACTGTTTTCAATAGCTATTATTTCTCACTCATGACATCTTTTTTGATATAGAATATGTTTATTATACATAATCTAGGTATGTTGAGTATAAAATAACTATCAGTGCAAATAATTACACACACACATTATTAGGGTTAAGCGTCAGGTTAGGGTTTTTGTGTCTCACAGGCTTGTGTTGTGTGACTTCTCAGTCTGTTTTCCAGATGATTGCCATTCTCAGATACAACATTTGCAAATCAGTGTTTTCTCACATTCGGTCCACTGCCTCTTTTGTCATGCATACGCTTGCCTGTGCTGTTGAAAACCTTTTCAGTCACCTGGAGCCCCAACTGGCTTTATTGTGCTTCTCTTTCCCTTGCTTGGGGACACCAATCCACAAACATGGTTCTAAGACTGAGGTCCAAGAACGCAGTACCTATGGGTTTCTTCTAGGCCTGGCCTGGCTTCAGGTTTTACGTTGCAGTAGTCGATTTGGTGTGAGTTTCTTGTTGTAGGTGGCACGAGAAAGGAATCCATTGTGATGCTTTTGCATGGAGCGGTCCTGTCTCCCCAACACCATTCATTGCACAGACTATCATATCCCCACGGGACCTTCTCACCTCCTTTGTCAGAGACGAATAGACACACAAGCGTGGCTTTCTTTCTGGGCTCTCCTTTCTCCTCCATGGATCTATGTGGATGTCTTGTGTGCCTATACCATGATGTCTTGATGATTGCAGGTTGGCAGGCTAGTTGGAAATCAGGCAGTGTGGGAAGTCCGAAGTCTGTGCTGCTGTCTGAAGAGAGTATTGACACTCTCTAGGTTCTTTTGTGTTTCCAGACGCATTTTGGAATTCTTGGTTGTACTTGTCTGAGAAAATCCGTGGGTATTTTGAGAGGAATGGCATTACATCTCTGGATTGTCTTGGGGGTGTGGAATCATTTCCACAAGACGGACTTTTCCGATCCATGAGCACCACC